CAACCAAGTAACTTTTTTTCACAAAACAATTCAAAAGATTGAAAGTAATAATATATCTACTGCAGAAGTTATTCTTATTTTAAATGATTTTATTCAACAATGTAAATCACAATTTGAAGATTTACTCCTTTATTGATTTAATTTGAAGTTTTATTGATTAAAAATATCTAATTTAGTAGAATCAAATCCCGGAATAAAATAAAAATTTACAAAAGAAATGCAGTGTTTTTACCAAACATGCTTTTAAAATGACAGTTTTCATGTTGTTATTTGAATTAATTGGGCAGATATTAAAAAGTGTGTTGAATTTCTTTAAACAGAAATCACTGGTATTAAAATCAATGACAACAGTCTGTATGACGAAATAAGAAGAATAAATTTATATTTAAATTCAAATAAAATAGTATTATGCAAAAATGAATATATTGAAATTAATAAAAGATAGGTGAAAATTTTTAATCATTTTTAAAATCAACACATTCCATATCAAATTTTAACTTTTTTTTTTTGATTTTGTGTTGAGTTGCCCTGGTACTAATGCAGCAGTCGAAAAGAGTTTTTTTAATCGGTAATGATTTCTGGACCAATGCAAAATTGAGATTAAATATTGATACTCTAGCAGTAGCACTTGCTATAAAATTTAATATAAAACACAAATCTTCCTCTGAATTTTCTGACATATTGTAGAAAATGATATATTGACAAAAAAAAATACTCAACTGAAAAATACTTATTTAAGTAGATAACTAGGTTTAACTTGAAGACAACTTAATTATAACAAATGAAGCCAGGTGTATTTACATTTTAATGAAATATTTTATTTATTTACGTTGTGCTTTTTTAAACGTGTCCTCCTTTTCTTTGAAAAAAAAAAAGTGGTCACTTAACAATACTTATTTTTTGTTTTCATATAAAACAATACGAGAAAATAATTTTTTAAAATGTACGATCTATACGATATATGTTAAACATACTTTATTAAAAATTGATATTTAAAAACGTAAAGAAACTACTATTTATGGTATTCATTTTATAGGATAAAATAAAGCAGAATTATAGAATTTAAAAATTTTTTATTTCTTTAGCTTTTTTCAGCTAAAAAAGTCACAAATATACTAAATATTGTTATTTTTAAAAACACGCTAGCTAAAAAATCTAAAATTGATATTTTTTGTGTGACAAGTTTGTGCGTTAAAATTTTACTTTGGCTTTAATGATAAAACTTTTTTCCAATGGAAATTTCTGCGTTTCAAAATTTATTTTAAAATCAGGAAAATTTCCGTTAAATTTTGTTAAATGGGTACTTTTCGTACTAATAACGGAATATAATTCCATAAAAGTAAGGAATTTTTTAACAGTATGCAAAATGTATTTTCGTATGTGTGTATATATAAGCAGTGGCGTAGGAAGGTTTTTAAATGTTTGAAACAATCAACTGTAAACAGAAAGAATATTTCAAACTTTTTTACGAAATGACGAAAAGATTCTTCACAAAAAAAATTACTCTAAAAATGGGAACAAGAAACACTAAAATCTTTGTCCCCTCTGCTCCAAACGTGAGAGTAACAAGGTGATGAAATATTTTTTGTACTATTTTTAACCAGACTTATATTCATCGAGAAATTTCATAGTAAAATATTTTATTGTTCAAAAATTATGACCATATAAAGTTTTAATCCCCTTAAGTTTGAGGGGGTTGCAACTCAAGATACTCGTGAAGTTAATAAACACACAATACTCGAAACATACAAAAACTTGAAATACGATATCAGCACAATGCTTGATCGATTACACAATAATGGATCCTTTTACCATAATAGTTTCTCATTAAACAATTCCGCTTATAACAATGATAAACTCTACTTCACTCAAGTAAAATATAAAGTCACTAAAATTTTTAAAAGTAAAGTCGTTTGATTTCGTAAGTAAACATTTTATAAACAAACGCAACAAATTTATTGCGTTAGAGGTCGTAAGAACAATAATCACCAATAACCTCTATTACTAATCAAATACCTCAACATTTTCTGTTTCATAAATTAAGTTCATATTTATTCTCTGAATCAGACTCTGAACTGAATGCTGAAAACGAAAAGCTGAATGGATTTCAATAACTCCAAGCTTATTCGGCTTGACGGCTTGACTAATATATTTGCAGTACGTATAAATGTTCTCTGGAAACGTTTCTTTCTTCAATTTAAAGTTTTGTCTTCGCTTATCAATACCCCACATAGTCATTTTTCACTCTCCTAGCTGATCTTTAAGAAAAAGTAAATTATCAAATTTGTTAGGTGGAATCCTGTTCTTATCTATTTTGATAGCTTTGAATCTTTAATTTTATCACTTAACCAGAAAAACTCTATAACTGGTATACTCCTTGGAAATTTCTTAATTAGGAATTATTACACTGATAAAATGTTTACTTTTTTTACAATGTTTTTTAACAATCTCTTACAGTCCAAACAAAATTATCACAAGATTAAGCGTAATCTCTTTGTGTTTTTTTGCGTAAGGTTTATATATCTATCCATATAATTAGATTCCTTTGCAGAGTAACAGTTAGAAAATATAAGTCATGGAAACAACTAAGAGTACATACTTTGCAGAATATGCAGTGGTACACTGTACACTGTAACTAATAATTTTTTTGTAATCACTCAAAAATTTACCCAGTTATTTTTTTCCACTAAGATAAAAAAATATTTTCAAGCATACAATGAGATTTTAAACGCATAATATGTTCATTACAAACAGTACGTTTAAAAAAATCAAAGTCAAAGATGAAATATACGAGTTTATCTAAAGCTGTTACTTAAAGAGCAAGCCACAAGTTGCTTTTTCTCTTCATTAGATCCACTCTTATTCTTTAACTAGAGAATGTGATTGATAACTTCAGCCAGGTTTGAAAACTTGACTGAAGACATCTTTTTTGGTTTACCAATTAAGAAGTGTGACTTTCAACAACTACTTTTTTTTTCCATAGTTTCTTTTAAAACTTCAACATTTTCATTTTATAAGGGGATTTCCGCTGTACACCGGGTTTACATATCAATTAAAAAATTATGATAAATAAAAGCTTAAATAGTATGAGCGAAATTATTATTAGTTTAGCATCATACAATAGTCAGGTTGTAACACGCAATGACATAATACTCAATTACATTCTTAATAGAGCTTGCATTACATTTTTTAGGATTCAACAATTAGCGCAAAAAATTTTAGTTTTTAGTGTTTGATTGGTTTTTTACATATTTTATTAAATATTTTCGCTTGATTTTTTTGCTTAAATGTAAAAAAGTATTTGATTCAAGATGATCCGATAGAAACAGAAACTCGTTTTTTTCTGCACATCGCGTATACACTTATCAGCTATAAAATATGTTATATACATGTCAATAACACAATCAGGTCTCCTCATATTTAATAACCAGTAAGTTTTAATTACAAATAATTTCAAAATATGTAAAAAAAAAACGTCTGTTGGTGCAAGGTGTAAAATTAATTTTTTGAAAAGTCAAAAATGTACTTTGAAATAACTACGCATCTTTTAATGCATGTCATCAATACAATATTGATGAAAAATGAACACTTTGTTATTATTTTAAATATCATCAAAAAGTGATTTTGTCAAACTTGATAAAAGAAACTTCTTTCTTGTTTTGATTTACAATTTTTTCCGAGGTGAAGTTCTTTGAGGCGCGGAAAAGCTCTTGAATTCACTAGTATTGCGGACCCACTAAGAGACTTCAGGACCTTGTTTTTCTTCCTTATACGTTTTTTATACTTTTTTTAGTTTACCTTAGTAAAAATACAAAAAAGGATGCGTTCCGCGGCCTCTGGAAAGCAGCTTTTTACATTTTGAAATCTAAGTAAATGAAATTACGTTTTTAAAAAACAGTTTTAATAAGTTTTATTTTCGGTATTACCGAGATAAAAAAAACACTAAAAACTAACCATTAAATAATATCGCAAGGTTGTTTGGTTTTAATAAAGATTCAAACACATTTTATTTTCAAAATGTTGTGAACACGTATATAAATATAGTATATAAAAAAATCACTGGGTCAAAATGCCGAACTGAAACAAATTTTGTTGTTTAGTCAACCATTTTTTATTAGTTTCGTTACACGTTTTATAAAATTATTTTTATAAAGATAAAAACAACATTAAAAAAAGGAAGATGAAGTTGTTACTGTTGTTCTTAATTGAAATTAACTACTTAGGTAAGTCAGCAAATAACAAATTTTTTACAAAAAATTAGATTTTGTTTTAAGAATATCTTTATTCGTTTTCACTTGTGACCTTCCCAACAAAACCAGACAAAAAGATTTTAAAATATATTTATTTTTTTTTAGTTTAATTTTTTTTTTTATTTAGAAATTTTTTATTTCTACGGTTTCTAACAGTTAAAACATTTAAGTAATGTTTTTCTAACCAGTATTTATAGGCATTTTAGTTTAAGATTTAAAAAAAATTGTTTAAAACGCATTGAAACATTTTAGCAGTTGTATTGTTTTATTTTTGTTTGTTTTAACTCCTTGAAAAGCAGTATTCTTCTCTCTATTGTCAACTAAAATACATGCAACAACCACTTCCTATCCTTATTACTATACGCGCCGCTCTTGGACTTACGATCCAATTATCGAGGCAAACCATTTTATAAGATCCTAAAGTGTGTTTTATAATAAAACTATTTTCTCGCTATTAAACTTTATTAAAAAAAGTTAATTATGAGTAAAAAGAAAATAATAATTATAAAACAGTTAAAGAAACAAGGTTATTTCACCTTATGAATAAGAAAAGTTTTGACGACCAAATCCCGTAAAATAACTTTTCCCGACGTTTTCGCGGAAGTATAACTTTTCCGGGAAAATTATTTTTTTCTGATTATATTATAAGTTTAAAATGTAATTAAATAATAATTTAAATAAAAACTAGTTTAGTAAGACTAGTTTAATAACAAATTTTGAAAAACCGATTTTTTTATGAAGAGACAATGAAGAAAATCTATATTTTTATTAATTTTTCGACGTAAACATTGATAGTATAGACCTGCTAATTACGGTCTTTATCTTACCAAATTTGAAATTGATCTTGATACATATGACCTTGGTATTGTTTCTTTTAGCCTTCTTAACAACACAGGTAAGAAATACAGTTTATAAATAATAAAGATATTTTATAAGTATATTAATTTATTTTTTAACGTAGTTGCATCCATAAAATTTATATAATTTTATAGGAAAATTGTTTTATTTTTAAAGTAAATAGCTTTACCAGCTAGTAAAACATTGGGAAATAGCTAGCAGAAATTCTTATTTTTTAATATTATAAAATCAAAATTAGAAAATAATATTTCTTAAAATTTTTAGTATTTAGTATATTTTTTAAATATTTATTGTTTCAGTGTCACACAAATTAGCGATTGAAAACATAACCAAAAAAAGAAATGTCGAAGAAGAGGAAGTTTGTCAAACAAATCATGTAAGAAAGTTTAGAAGTATTTTTCTACTAAGTTGCAGTCGATGTTCTATACAAAAATATGCATTTTAGTAGTATTTAGTATATATATATATATATATATATATATATATATATATATATATATATATATATATATAAACTTATATATATATATATATATATATATATATATATATATATATATATATATATATATATATATATATATATATATATATATATATATATATATATATATATATATATATATATATATATGTATATAGTGCTCGAAATGGAGAAAAAAAAGTAACAGGGTGGTATTCGGTAAATTAAAAATACCATCCCATCTTATCATTGTTATGTATAGAGATTTGTAAAAAGGTCGCAGGATGCTTTATACTTTTTAAAAAGGTGATGGCATGGCATCCCGCCGCATCCTGCCTCACTTCGAGCACTAAATATATATATATATATTTATGTATATATATATATATATATATATATATATATATATATATATATATATATATATAAATATATATATATATATATACATAAATATATATATATATATATATATATATATATATATATATATATATATATATATATATATACATAATATATATATATATATATATATATATATATATATATATATATATATATATATATATATATATATATATACATAAATATATATATATATATTTAGTGCTCGAAGTGAGGCGGGATGCGGCTGGATGCCATACCATCACCTTTTTAAAAAGTATAAAGCATCCTGCGACCTTTTTACAAATCTCTATACATAACAATGATAAGATGGGATGGTATTTTTAATTTACCGAATACCACCCCGTTACTTTTTTTCTCCATTTGGAGTAATTGAGTATTATGTCATTGCGTGTTACAACCTGACTATTGTATGATGCTAAACTAATAATAATTTCGCTCATACTATTTAAGCTTTTATTTATCATAATTTTTTAATTGATATATATATATATATATATATATATATATATATATATATACATATATATATATGTATATACATATATATTGTGTATTATATATTGTATATACATATATGCGTATATATATATATAGTATATATATATAGTATATATATATATATATATATATATATATATATATATATATATATATATATATATATATATATATATATATATATATATATATATATGTATGTATATATATATATATATATATATATATATATATATATATATATATATATATATATATATATATTGTATATGTATATATATATATATTGTAAATGTATATATATATATATTGTAAATGTATGTATAGAATTAGTCTCACCATTTTTTTCATTCTAATTTAACAAAAAAGGCAGTGAAACAATTTTTGAATCTATTTTTTATTATCTTCTTCTACATTAAAAAATTATAAATTGGTATGTTTAATTAATTATAAATAAAAGGAAAAAAATTACTCCGGTATGCTTTGAGTTAAGTCTCATTTTTTAAAAACTTTTCCTCGTAGATTGTTGCTCAATCATTAAAACAAGTCAGAACAAAGTCTATAGAATATGTTGGGTGAAGTAATATCTTTCAGTTAAATGATAATAATTTTTCTCTAAAGCATATAAATACAATTCACCAACTTTACAATAGAACAATTTGGGTGGTTGAAAAAATAAAAATCATAATTTTCTATGCTAATAATGCAAAGTTCATTAAGTGATGCAGATCTGGAAAATATTTATTAATTGTTTGTTGTCATCCTTTTTGTTATTTAAAGAAGCAGCATTACTTAAAAACTGTTTGAAGTAGATTTAAACTTTTTTTTTTTGATGTTGATATTATTTTTGTGATAATAATATAATATATATGTACTTTCTAAAGTTGTAATACATGCATACATCAATTGTAAGTTTATAAAATATTAAATATACCTGTTTAATAGAATCTTTTAAACTGTCAAAGTTTATATAATTTGATTGTTTTGATTAGAAATTTGATGATGTTGTTAGTTTGTATCTCATTTTTATGTTTTTATCTTTCAAATCATTATAAATTTAATAACATTCATTTAATAATTGTTAGAAAAATCATATCAAAATGATAGCCAGGAGTATATTTTTTACTGCGTTTTTGTGATATTGGGAATATTTTTGTTATTGTTCTATTACTTTATCATCAATTGTTATAAAACTAAATATTAAATTATTAATACAATTAACTGTTTAATGGAATCAGTATTTGCAATTACTTTTTGTATTGTCAGCAAAAAAGAAAGTGTCTAGTTCTGTTGCACTCAGTAGATATAAATTTTGAAAAGTAATAAACTCATAAATGTTCTTTAATTTTACTACTCTTTCTTATAGATATAGAACTTCTGATAACAACTGCCTTCTGTTTATTAAATATGAAGAGATCCATTTAAAGTTTTTTCACTCGCACCAATGTTTTTGAGTTTGTTGTAAATAATGTTATTGATACAACTGCTAAAAGCTTTTTTCAAATCATTAGAATTGAAACTGCAACAATTTTATTTTGGTTTCTATAGTTATATTTATACCTAATTTTGAAGTCGAGTTGACAAATTAGAATGATTCTATTATCATCACGATTTTTCTCAATTTGATGTAAAATTTCTTTTTCAAACACTTTCGATAATGCTATTTACACACTGTTGAGCCTCAGTTTTCCGTAAGCCTCAGTTCTCCGTAAGGTTTTATTTCATTATTTATATACAAATTTTATAAAACCTTATTTTATGTCTTGGGGGAAACATCTAGTACTAATAAAACCATTATTCATTTTTGTTAAAAAATAAGTGCATTCTGATATACAATGTTTAATAAACTTTTTACTTATTTGATCATGACCACAACTACTTATCCGAGCAACACCATTAACATAGTTGACTCATTATATATGAACTTTCCCAAATAACATAGAATAATATATTTAAATAACCAAGGCCAAGTAACATAGTTAGAATAACTTATTAGAGTGACACCGTAAAATGTTTGTAAAGTAATTAAATTAATCTAAAGTTAAATGAAAAGATTTATGTTGTTTGGTCTTAGCTAAATTGATGCATCTGTAAAATGCTAAGTAAAGAAATTTGTTTCCAGTTCTTATTTAATCAAGTGGGTATTATTTTTTTCAATTTTTATCAAATAAAATTGTTTTTACGAGATCTTTGAAAAGCCATGTAAGGAATAATTTAATATAAAAAATACAAAAAGGATTCTTAAAAAACTATTCATTTTATTTTTTTATATTCTTTTTTTTTTCCTGATTAAAACATGCTTTAAATAATCTGTTTGTCTACCTTAAAATCTAAGTTCATTGTATGCTTTCTTAATTTAAGAAACTCTACGGTTACCCATGGAATTTTTACTAACCTTTAAATCTAAGTTCATTGTATGCTTTCTTAATTCAAGAAACTCTATGGTTACCCATGGAATTTTTACTAACCTTTAAATCTAAGTTTATTGTATGCTTTTTTAATTCAAGAAACTCTATGGTTACCCATGGAATTTTTACTAACCTTAAAATCTAAGTTCATTGTATGCTTTCTTAATTCAAGAAACTCTATGGTTACCCATGGAATTTTTACTAACCTTAAAATATAAGGTCATTGTATGCTTTCTTAATTCAAAAAACTCTATGGTTACCCATGGAATTTTTTGATTTTTTAGAAAAAAATTACTGTTTTTTTTGAAGCATTTTTTTCTGGTGCTGTTATGTATAATTTAATCTGAATTTTGTAAATAAATTTTTGTAATATTTGTCAATTTTCAACTTTATTGTATTATAAGATTCATCTAAACGGTTAATCTTATAATAAAATAAAGTTGAAAATAAGGTTTCTTAACTTTTCTCTGTATTATTATTTTTTTCATCAAGAAAGTCATATATTGTGAATAAAGTATTTTGATATTCATAGTTATGAACTTCACTATAACATTTGGTTAATTCCTACTTATCAAAACATGATCTAGACTGGTACTAGAGGTTTTTCTAGTTGGACCATAAGTTATATTAATTAGGTTGTACTCTATCAAAATGAAGCGCAACTTAGAGAGGATATTGAATTAAGTAAGTAGAGATTACAGCAGAAGATTTTGTTGGTTTTATTGTTTTCATAAATAATTTTTTTAAATTAATTTCAGTTTTTGATGTTCATTTCCACCTGGAGTCTTATAAATGTTCACAATTTTCTATTGGATATTTTATTGGAACTCAATTCCTTTAATTTCTTCCTTTTATAATAAAATTAATTTAAAATAAAATATTAATAACAATATTTAAACCACAAACTATTCCAAAGGAATAGTTAATAAAATAGTAAAAGTAAACCTATCCAATTTATAGTGCAAAAAAACTTTAATTTGTCATACTTCTTGTAAAATAATTACTTCGATATCATCATTATCATAAATAAATTCTTTAAATAATTCAAAATTACTATTAAGAAATATTTTATATTTTTATATTTTTACAACAGCATTTTAAATTAAGTTTAGATCTTTGCTTATTATTATCAATCATTATTAGTGAAGTAGGTTCGTTATTTATATTATTGTTTATTGATTTTGAATAGCTGTTGCCTCTGAAACAAGTATTTTTTTAATTGTTTTTTTTTTTCTTTCTCAAGGAATTGTAAAAGCTTTTTTAACTAATATTTTAAGCATTACTAATATGTAATGTTTTTTAGATTAATCAAACCTATCATCAATTGAAAGGAAAATGTACTCTTGCAGAGGTATTCCTTCTATATATGAAAAGTAGTTTGGATGAAAAAACAAGCGCCTACTTAAATGCCAAGTATTTTTATTTTTTTAACTTTTAACAGTTTATAATAATGTTGTTGATGTTGAAAAATTACGTTATTTTATTGAAACTCTTTAGTAAGAAAAAAAAAACTTTCTTTAAAAATTTTAGGTCAACCTTATGTTCAGGAATTCAAATACATGAGAACAATAAATATACTTTTGAATGCAGTATACATGAAGGACTTGTAGTTTTGACACCTCGACATTTGCAAACTTCAAATGGCAAAACTGATATTATTCTTTCAACTAATGGCACAAGTTACAAAAGTATGGTCATTGACATTAATGGCCCATTTAGATCAACAATTTTAAAGGTTTATTTTAATTTATTTCTATTTGCATCCAGTTAGTAAATAGAATTTATTTAAAAAGCAGTAGATGATCCAATGAATAAAGCCTGTGCTCTACCAAAAAATATAACAAAAAATTTTAAAATATATTACTAAGAAAATTTAAGAAGTTATTGGAGGAAAACTTATTCTATAGTTTATTATTATTATATATTTATATAGTTTAATATTGTATTTGTATAAATCTTTTGAGTTTGTATTTTACAATTAATTCAAGTTCAATTCATTATTAAGTTGTCTTTTATAGAAAAAAATTATATTTAATAGCTCTCTCTCTCTCTCTCTCTCTTTCTCTCTCTCTCTCTCTCTCTCTCTCTATATATATATATATATATATATATATATATATATATATATATATATATATATATATATATATATATATATATATATAGTATTATTTTTATATTTAACATTTTTTATCCTCACTAATTATATTATTCTTTGTTTATTGTATTAAGTTTTTAGGTGTGTATCATTTATTTTTTTTAAATAATTATTTACTTCTGTGATATATATTTTATATATGTTTTAAGCTCTATGATTTATATTTTACATATGCTATAAAAATGGTTAATCTGTCAAAATAAATATTTAATAAATAAAAATTGTTTATTAAAAAAAATTATTTTTAAGGTGCACAAAGATGAGAATCAAGATGATATGGTTATGAAAACAGATGATTCATTTGTTGATTTTAATGTTGATGAGTTCTTAAAAACACATTTTAATGTTGAATTTGAGACACTTTCTGGTGATCTTGATTTAGTACCAAAAGCTTTAAGTAGTGTCACTTTGTCTGCTATCATTAAACCCCTAGACTACTTTGAACTCATTTTTTAGTGAGTGCATTTTTAATATTATTTATTTATTTTAATATTATTATTTATTTGGTTTTATTTATCTAAGCTTTAAATTATATGAGAAAAAAACAAACATTTATGGTTATATGAAGCCTTAAATATATCAAACATTATTCTGGTAATTATTAACTTTTCTTTGCGTGTCACATGTGATAGCGACACTTGATACGTGGGAAGCCATATATAGTTATGGTGTTTAATAATACTTAAGTGCAGGGTTCCTACAGAGCCTGTTTTTCTGTTTTTTTCCTGTTTTTTCCATTTTGACCTATTTTCCTGTTTTTAAGGCAATAGCCTTTTTTTAAAGTCTGACGATGTTTATATAAAAAATGATATATTTTATGGATTTAGGAAGTAATGAAGATAACAAGTTTTTCAAACAAGATTTACTAATTTTGTTTTAGGTATAATATCAGCTATTACTTAAGATAGTTTTACCATCTATTTTTTTTTTTTTTTTACATCACAGACAAAAAAACAATATGACATTATATATATATATATATATATATATATATATATATATATATATATATATATATATATATATATATATGTATATATATATATATATATATATGTATATATATATATATATATACATATATATATATATATGTATATATATATATATATATATATATATATATATATATATATATATATATATATATATATATGCATTTATATATATACAGTTTTACTGTTTATAAAACGTTTTTACTTGTTCATTTATCTTTTTTTTTTAATATATTTTAAATTGTGTCACAAAATAGCCTGTTTGTCTATGAAAAATCCTGTTTTTTAGGCCTTAACAGACCTGTTTTTTTTTTAATGTCCTATTTTTTACCAATGACCCTGTAGGAAGTAGTAGTCACATGGGCTATATGCTGCTACTAGTGGTAAAAATACCATGGCCACACAAGGCCTACATTTATGCCATCCCATAAATTGAGTGTGGCTATCATTTAAAGACACTTGAGGTCGATATCAAATGTTCTCATTGGGATGAATTGTTTTAACTTTTTTTAGTAATAAAAATTGATGACTTATAATTTGTTTTTTATTCATTTTAAATTTCTTTTTTATTTTATTATAGTGCTGAACATGAAAAAGAGTTCTTTGTTATACAGTTGTTTGAAAGTGCAGCTTCAGCTTCTATTGGGTTCTTCAAAAAATTAGAAGGGAAAAAGCCACTAGAGGTGATAAATCAAAAGTTAAAGATAAATATTAAGGAAGGACTCATGCCTTTTCTTGAAACTACTACCAGTAGTAAGTTTTTATTTTTATGCAGTGAAACTTTCAAACTATATATAATTAATTTTACATATATCTACAACAGCATTTTATCTATGCTTTAGGTAGCATTTTATGTGCAAAAAACGAAAAAATAAAGGTTATAAATAAGTATTAAAAATGAAATTTAATTTAAGGTAACCTTAACATCATGCCAACTTAACATAATCCTAACTGTAACTTTTTTTTTAATTTTTTTATTTATTTTTATTATTCATTTTTTATTTTCATGCTTCAATTTTTTTTTTTATAAAAATAATGTAAATAATTTTTATTTTAAAAAAATCTTTTACTTCTAAAAATAAGTTTTTTTTTTTGCATCTTTTTTTTAAGTAGTCAAGCTTGCAACTCTAATCAATTCTTTTTTTTTTTATATATATATATAAGTAGATTCTACACTAAAAATATGTTTGTCCATTCAAACTTTGTTAATCCAAAAATCCAGACAATCTTTGTACATATGTACACACATCAAACATATTGCCTGTAATCTATGTACGCATGTATACACATCAAACATATTACCTGTAATCTATGTACACATGTATACACATCAAACATATTAACTATAACCTATATACACATATATGCACTTTAAACATTACCTGTAATCTGTATACACTTACATACACATCAAATACATTACCTGTAATCTATGTACACATGTATACACGTCAAACATATTACCTGTAATCTATGATGCAAACATGAATTACAGCTTATATGAATGTACACATGTATACAATTCAAATAAGCTGTAATTCATGTATGCATCTGTAAACATTTAGCATGATAAAAATATATTAAAAATGAAAATATACATTAATATATTTTGGTGTAAAGTAATTCTTAGAAAGAAAGCTTTTATTAATTAAACTAAATGTATTAACGTTTTGTTAATTATATTTGTAATTTTTTAAATAAATTTGAATTCTTAATATTTTGAGGTTTTTCGTCGTGCACCTTATCCATTCCTGTAATAATGAGTACACCCCATAGAGATTTTGTTGAAAAATTCATGACAGAAAGTAATTCTGTTGCAATGCCTGAAGGAAAAATGTTGCGCTGGGTAATAGATGATTCTAAAAATGTGAAAAAAACAGCTGAAAATTTTAAAGCAGAGCAACCTAAATTCCAAGATGATAAAGTCAATACATCTGTATACTCTTCTAAAGTTGGCCTCTCTGCTATTTTCCTAATAAATGGTTCTGATGTAAATATTGTTTCAAAAGACACTTTGCAAGGTAATTATTATTTAGGGGTGTTTGGCTTTTTTTCTATAAGTTTTGCAATCTTGCTTTCATTCTTTTTTTAGCCAAATTTAAAGACATTATGCAGACATTTGTTCCAAATGAATCTTCTATGTTGGCTGAAGATTATAAAGCCGATCTATCTATTTTTGAAAAAGAAGTTATTTTTAATAAGTTATCTATTCTTGTGGAAACACAACAAATTAAACTAGATGTTATGGTTGTTGAAGATTGGCTCCTAGCTGGAAACATGGTTAATTTAAAAGGAATCAATTTAACAGTGACCACTTCTTATTTAACTGAAGCACCATGGAGTATAGAAGGAGGGGGGAATATTATTATGTTGGGAGAAAGTGTATGTATATATTAACTATTTAAATTAAAATAGGAGTTAGAGAGGCAAGATAAAAATTGTTAGGAGTTAGAGAGGCAAGGTTATAAATGTCATTAGAAGTTTTAAACTTATTGTGTCAAAGTTGAGTTATTTTTTGATTAGTTGACAACTCAGTTTTGCATTTTATTTTTTTAGGTTTTTGCAAAGATCGAAAAAATAGACAATAATTTGAATCTCAATGGTTACTTCCCTGCTCGCAATATAAGCGAACTCAGATCAAAATTTAATAATGTTTCATTTGTTCCTGAAAATTATTTTGATTTTGAGCACCTTAATGAAGTTCAATTTTCAACGCTTTCATTTATGATGAAACTTGATTCTCCAGTTCTTAAGTAAGAAACAGTTTTTTTATTTTGTTGCATTTTAATGCTAGTTATTATTATTTTCTAATTTTTTTAACTTATTATGAATAATTAAAAAACTGTTTAAATGGCTATATGTTTAAATAAAGGTTCAATGGAGAGTCTCAGTCAAATGCTAACCCAAATCAGCTCACAAGTAAATCAATAATTGAAATTGTTTTAAAAGGCAATGAAAAACAACAAAATATGGTTGTTAAAGTATGTCAAGAAGATGTTTTACTTGAACTCATGGTCAATGAAATATTCCATATTGCAATGGAAGGTGTTCCATGGTTGAAATTTGATGATCTTTGTAAGATATTTATTTTTATGTACACATGTATGTAGTTCTTAGTCCTATGAGCTAAGTAGTAGACCTTTTTTCTTTAATTAACACTTTCTTTTCAATTTTTTTTTATACTTTCTTTGTTAAAAAAAGTTAAAAAAAACTCTTTAACAGAAGAAAAAAATGCAATTAAATTTAAAAAAAAATTAAATTAAATTTTTCTACCAGCAAAAAGATTCAATCAAAATTTTTTGTGTTAAATTTTTTTAGAGACTTCATGACTACATTTTAATATTTAAAAGTTTGTTGTGAGATTTATGTTAAATTTTTTTAGAGGCTTCAAGACTACATTTTAATATTTAAAAGTTAGTAAATGAGATTTTCAGGAAGATCATTAGTATAGAAATGAGAAACAATATAATGACAAAGATAAAACCTTGTGATACCCCAGTGAACCTAGTGGTACCCCAGAAGTTAATGGAAATAAAAGAGTGTTGTTCTTCAAGGACAACAAGATTTTTGGCCTATGAGAATAATTTTAACAAAGCGGTTAGAAAGAAATGCTTTGATGATCTCAAAAACTTTCCCAAATAAACCATATGAAGTAAGCCAACTGTCATTAAATGGAGTATACTGTTTTTCTTAAAAACCATGATGAACATGATGATGGGGTGTCCAAATATTTTCCATGATAAATTAATTATAAATTGCTTTAGCTAAACAAAATTTTGAAAAATTGTTTTTGCTAATTCAGCAAAAAAGAAATTGCTGAGTCGACATAAAACTTTTACTTGATTTATGTTTACTGTTTTTCATGTTTTTAATTAAATTAAAGTTTTATTGGTTTACATATTTTTTCTTTTCAACTTTTAACAAATAGTTTAGTTTTTTTTTTTTTTATTAGTCACTCATTCTGTAGAAATTTTAATGAATAATTACTCACACTTTAATGAAAATTAGGTTATTAACAACAAAGAGCTGTTGCATAAAATGGGTTTTGATTTATTTACTAATTACACCACTTGTAATATATTACACCATTGACCCGTTGGCTCTAAAGCTCATAACTTTGTGTGGTGCTCCAGAACTTCTGTATTTCTCAATCGCTTACTCAGATAGTTAACTTTCTGACTGGGGACCCTGAAAACCCAAACAACCAATCACTTACCTCCTTGATTTGTGTCTTATCTCTGACTCAAGCTTGTGTTCAGTTTCTCATTTTTCTTTTTTAGGTGGTTTCAAACAATGATCTCTATAAATTATTTATCTCATACTCATTCTTTAGACTCGCCTTACATTGCACTACTCACCTAAACTGAGTGGGATTCTTTTCTTGATTTTACTTGTATCTTTTCAGTTATAATTGAAAATTCTACATAGTCATGCAGGTATGGAAGCCTTTATTCCTTCTTTGTTGCTTTCAAGTTAAGCTTTATTTTATTTCATAGTTTTCTTGTACAGGTGCTATATCTAATCATAATCATTTTCTTTTTATTATTGCATTAAATCAATGTAAAAAGGTGTTGTAAAAAGTTGAACATTTTACATAGGTCTGATCTTTCCTCTCTAAAGAATAAGGCAGAACTATTTGCAACAAACTTTTTCTTTAATTTGACTCTTATATATAATGATCATACTCTTCCTGTCATTCCAGTTAAACAAGTTAAACAATTGTTAAATATCTAAAATCTCTGGCTAATTGCTAAATCATTGCTAAAGTCATTTTTTAATTAAACTACAGCTTGTGGTCTAGACAACATTCCTGTCACAGTCTTATAAAATTCTTTTCCAGAACTCTCTTCAATTCTTTCTAAACTATTTAATAAGTGCTTGATTGAATCTTGTTTTCCTGCCTGCTGAAAAATAGTAACTGTGGTTGCAATTTTTGAAAACTTCTCTCAATTATTAAATCTTCCTGACGATCTAGGGGCTTGCAATGGTTTGTGAATTTTAACTTGAGCAAAACTCAGTTATTTACTGCAAACGACTATTGCAATATTGTTGACATTCCTATATTAATCAATGGCAACCCTCTCACTGAGTCTTCTTTTTTACCTCTTCTTGAATTATCATTAACTACTGTTCTCTTTTAGAAACCATATATATAATCCATTGTTAAGTAACAAAATCCATTGTTAAGTAACAAAATCCATTGTTAAGTAACAAAATCCACTTATTGTTAAGTTAACATCTGTTAAGATTGTTTCTCTTTATCATCCTTTTTCTCATTCCATTCTCAACCTTTTCAAATCTATTATTTGTCCTTGTACTGTTGACATTTTTGGGCTGATTTTTCTAATGATGATCTTTCTCTTATAGACAAGTTCCAAAAGTAGTTTGTAAATGTAGCTAGACCTGTTCTATCTGAAAAGCTTGAGTCACTCTCCCATCATCATAGGGTACCAACTCTTTTTCTTTTCTACAAAAATTATCATATTTGCTACTCAAACAATTTATCATCTTTAGTTCTATCAACCAAAACTCATTCACTTGAATCGAGATTTAACAACGTTGTATTCTTTTATATGTCCCTTCATGCTATTAAGCCTTTATTCAACTAGTTTTTTTGGCTGCACTTCAACCCTCAAGAACTCATTCCCATTTTTATGTTTTTCTGACTCGTACAACTTTAACTTTTTAAATCTTCTGTCAACTGTTTCTTTGCACTTCAACTCTATTCTTTGTTTTTTAGTAAATCCTAACTGAATAGTGGTTGCTTGCAGCCTTGTTGTGAGTGAATTAGTTTAAAAATATATATATTTGAAATTTCTGTTTTAAATATAAATATGTTACTTATGAGTTGAATAATTAAGCTGTTAAGATTTGATTTTTAGATTTAAGTTTATATTGAAAGTTTATATGATAATAACTTAAAATTACTTTTGATTTCAATAAGAATATTATAATAATATAAGGGAATATATTAATAAGAATAATATAAGAGAATATATGAATAAGAATAATGGGTCATTTACTTAGGAATTGATTTTTCTGACCTGTAATTCTGTTTCAGGTTTTCTGATGGCCAAAGAAATTACAGATGAACTTTCATATTTTAACAATACAAGTTTGTTTGAGTTACAACCAATGACAGGTGCAAATGATTATTAAATAAATGTTATAAAATAAGACATTACAATTGATTGTATTTGTGATTATCTTTACAAGTTTTTATTTTTATTTTAATTATAATATAAAAAGTTAACTTTAAGGAATCAATTATGTTGGCAAACTTGCTTCACATTCAAAATGTGCATTTATGGGACCAGAATCGAGTGATATAGACAGCATTGACTACTTTTGTCGATTTTTAAATAAAAACCCTTTTTTTCTTGAAACTAATGTTGTTGGTAAATTTTTAAATATTACTTACTAAATTTTGTTGTTCTTTTTTTTTAATAAAATTCAATTGGTTCCTTGTTTTTTTAATAAAATTTGATTGGCTCCTTGTTTTACTATTTTTTTATTTACTATCATATTAACTATTGTTAATAATTTAATTGTGATTACTTAGTTTTTTTAATTTTATATAAAACAGGGTTTACCATAAATTTTTAATGCTGAATTTTTAATTTTTTTTAGGAAGTATTACTCCAACTAGTCATGATTTTGTTGCAAAAATTCAAAACACTGAATTTGTGCAATTGAATGAAAGTCAGTTAAGCATAAAAGATGTTGTTATGGGCTTGAAACAAGTAAATACAAAATCTGAAACTCAATCCAAAGATGAAAACCAAAATGAAAATCCAGATAAAACTGAATCTGAACTTCGCCCAATTCAACCTATGCATCATTTAGCCTCCAGAAGATCTGATGAAGAAAAAAGAAATTCGATTGCACATGAAATTTCAAAAAAACAAATTATGTCTTTGTTTATTCAAGGCACATTTTCTGCATCAGAGAAACTTTACAGATTAGATTTTTCTGGTATTTTTTTAGTATTTTATTGAGTTTTATGAAATTACTTAAAAATTGTTTTGCATAATTGTTGAAGGACAAATAATAAAGTTGAAACCTCATATTATGTTACTGTATCTATATAAGGGATGTTTTGAGAGTGTATCAGTGGTGTCATGTTATTGCAATAGAATCATAATTTAGCAAAATACGTACATAATAAATATGTTAAGAAACTTTGACTTTAGAAAGTAGGAAATTGAATTTTTCTTGCTCCAATAATTTTTAATCAGTAGTTAAAATGAAGATCTAAATTTAGAACGCAGTGCATTCTATCAAACTTTGTAAGAACGCAGTACATTCTGTTGAGTAATGGTTTAACACAATTTTGCTTTGGTATTAATAATTTAAATTAAAACATTAAAAGTTGTCACTTGAGGCTGAGCAATGAAAGCTCACAGAGAAATATGAAAAATTTCTTTTTAAAATTTTTTTTATATAAAAGAGGATAAGTAATAAAAACAAAGAAAAATGAACAGATGTTCAGAATAAACACAGATTTATTTTCAGAAGAAAAATCTTATACACAAATCATTGCAACAGTAATTTTATTGTTAAAGTATTCCTTAACAAAACAGAAAACATAAGTAACAGTAAATCTTCATTAAATACAAAAGTTTAACTTGAAAACATATATATATATACATAGATATATTAATATTTAAAATTAATAAATATAAATTGATAGGAGGCATAAGATAAAGAAAAAACACTCAAACTTATTTCTTAGTGTGTTTCAATTTTAACAAATTGTCTTTTTTACTAAATATATAGAGTATAATGAAAATAGTTGAAAGTTTTAATAATTTTACAAAAAAAAAAAAAGTTTTATAAGTGTTTTACTCCTTAGATTTAAAATAATTATATTTTCAAAACTATTACAATTTTGAATCTTACAATTTTAAGATAACAAGTTTTTAAAACTGTTTTCTCTAAAATGTTTTTTTAAAAAGGAAAGTTTATTATAAATAAAATATTTTATACAAATAAATAAATATTTTATATAAACTTTGAATATTATTTAAGATTACTATTGAAGATAAACTGAAAAATTTCTAATTAAAAAAAAAAAAAAATTCTCTATGCAAAAATATTTTTTCACTTTAAAATAAAATTATTTATAAATAAGACTATAATTGTTCAGTTTAATTAAAAATAAAACATTCGAAATGCACTAAAACATTTTAAAATGTATTTTTAAAAAAATATATAACATAGTTTTCATTTTTTATACATATATTTATTTCTTATTTAATGTTTTCTTATATTGTTTTTATTGTTTTTAAGCATTCTTGTATTTTAAAAATTGTGTTTTAAGGTGAAATTTCATCACGCAGCCCAAGTGACCTTATACTAACATGTACAAATGTTAGTTTACAATTTGATACTGATGAAGGTATTATTCATTTTGAAACTCAAGGAAAGAGTAATGCTGAAAAGAGTGGATTTTTTCTTTTTGGTATTTTTTTCTTTTTTTCTTTTTGTATATAAATATTAGATTAGTTACAATATTAATATAGATGTACAGGAGTGGGTAATTGAAATATTTTGTGTAAGTCTAAAAATAAAGTATGCTCCTCTCATTATTTTACTTTCAACCCCATCTTTGGTGGATTGAGTAATAATTTTATAAAAATAAATGTTTCAATAATTTTTTCTAAAATAGTCACTAAAGCTAAAAAAAATGTTCAATAAGTTCATTAGGGTTATGAATGAAAATATATTTTGTACAACTTTGTATCTCCTGTGCACAGTGTGCCCAGGACATGAAAAAATTCCTTTTTCTGACCTTTTATTTTTTCACTTTAAATAGTATTTTTATAATGTGTAGGGCATATGTTGGTCAGTGCGAAAAAAGTTTTGAAATTCATCAAACCATTTTGTTTTTATAGCTGTTTGAAGTTGAAGAAAATATTGACGCAAAATATTTGTCTTAAAATTGTACCAATTCTGTTTTTTAACAACAACTTTGAAATGCTATACATTAAAAAATACTACATGAATTTAAAAAAAAATTTCTTTTCTAGTCTGTAAATAATATTTAATTTGTGAATTACTTAATGAAAAATAAAAACTGAAATTTAAACATTTTTTTTGTGCAGTTTTGTTTATACCTAAAAAAATTCTAAAATATATGAAAATTTATTTTTTTAATTAAAAAGAAAGTAACAGGAAAGAAAAGGCCGCAGGAGGCGGCAAATAAACTCAAATGTTTAATTAAATATAGACTTTCTATTTTTATGTTTAAAAATTTCACAGTCCGGTTATCCCCGGAAATTGAGTAATTTAAATTTGAAATTTAATTGTTCGTACATGTTGATATTCGAGGTTGCATAATTATGAAAATCAACTTTCACGGACGATTCAGGAATATCTGTTGATAACATGCGACAAAATGTTATTGATAAAAAAAGGAGAATTAGAAGAAATTTTACTAACCTTGAACATCAAATTAAGTTCATTTGAAAAACCTAAGCTTATTTTAAAAACAATCAAAGTGAGATATAATCTAACTATAGAAGATGAAAAAGATAACATCAAGAAAATTTTAAAGCAAATTGACAGACATGTAAAAAAATATTCAAAGTTGAAACAAAACAAACTTTTGGCCAAATTGGAAATTTGGAGAAACGAAGTGGGGATAAAACTGCCTGGAAATCTACCTGCAGCAGCATCATCATCCAGGGGTGATGTAGAAGAAGAGAGAGCTCCGCAAGCTAAAAGAGAACGGAAATCAAAAAGACTAAGGTAAAAGTTTAGTTGTTGACATATATTTGAATTTCTTAGGCATCATGTTATTTGGGACACCCAGTAGCTATTTTTTTACTTTTCACAATACATTATTATTTAATTCAGCGATCAACCTGAAAAATGTACCTACAACAAAATTCTGGATGATTTTGTGGATATCGTGGAAAAACATGCAAGTGAACAGGGAGTAGATAAGTCAGAATACTTAAAAGAAGTTGTCCAAAGATGTGAAAAAAGATGGGGAAAGGAAGAAGGAGTAAAACTTCCAACAATATCAGTACAGTAAGCAACTACTTTAATCTACAACTTGGATCTATCCATAAATAAATATCAGGTGAAATATGCAATCAAATACTGTTGTAATTAATTGTTTTCATAATTGTATGTTTAAATTTTATATATTTCCCTAGGAGCTGAGACTTGAGCTTCTCCCAAAACTAATGTTGCCAACAAGGAATGATGTAGATACCTTTAAACGTACTTTGCTACCAAAGGAATTGAGTAGTGATGACAAACAAACTTCATCTCCTGTTAACAATGTTATCAAAGACACTGTTGAGTCTCTACTTGATATATCCGGGTTTTGTGCTGAAAATTATTCTATACATGTAGAGGGTAAATTTGGACTTGATGGATCTGGAAATCACAACTATCGTCATCAGTTTTCCGATCCTCAAGATGCAGACTTAAAAGGAACAAATTATATTTGTTCTTTTTGGTGTCCCCTTGAAATAAAAGATTCAAAAAACCAAGTTATCTGGACTAATCCAACCCCTAACTCCATTAATTTTTCCAGGCCTGTTATTCTAGTGAAAACAGAAGAAACTAGGGAGAGTGTAAAAGAGTATTTAAACCAACTCTGAGCCAACTGCCTAAAAATGAAACTTTGCCTATTCTTTTAGAAAGTGGTTTGCAAATATTTGTAAAAACAGAGATAAGTATGGTTGATGGCAAAATGGTAAATTTATTGGTGGGTGATTCTGGAGCTTTTTGTCACTACTGCAAATGTTCCAGAGAAGTTCAATATACTCCTTAGCATTAATCAGCATGTTGATATTAGCAAAAAGGTTGATCCTGATAAAGTTAAAGAAGTTGGTTATGGATTGATGATATTCCATAAACAGACATTTCCATGGTTGCACATGCCTGGGACATTTCCATGGACTTTGCTTAGCCCCAGCTTGCATCAAGTGTGTGCACATGCCTGGGAACTATTTGTTATTACAGGTGGATCACCCAATGCCAAGTACTCCGAGCAATCAGGCGAAAGCCCCATTCTCTGGGTTAGAGTGCACACACGTAAAATTTAACTTCAGAATCAGATTCGTCAGCCCAAAAATATAATATATTAAAATTTTCAAAAGATTTCATTAACAAATAAAAAGTTTATGAATTTTTTCCAAAAAACTACATTCTGGGCACACTGCGCTATGGTCATAAATGATGTACTCTCCTGTGGTCATAATTTTTTTTTTGACCTGATTATTTATAAATTATTATTAGAGCTTTAGTTCCTGCACCAAGACACTCGGCGCTATGATAGGTGTCATATTTTACCTAAACAAATTTTTCTCCTAAAGTACATTATGTAGGGCCTCTAAAGAATTGAATTTTTACAATTTTAAAGAGTTGAACAATAAATTTGAGTTTCTTGATTAGTATTAAAATATTTATTTATTACTACTACAGGTCAAAAAAATATTTTATTGTCATAACCCTAAATGAACATGATATATTTTTTTAAATACAAAATGTAGATGAAATTTAAGATCATGATATTAAAAATAATATAATAATTAGATAAAAATCAAGTAGTGAAATCAGTAGGCCTAATACTTTATAAATTCTATTTGTAACAAAAATCATAGGTATAAGGTACTGCAACAACAAAGACAGAAACTTTTATTACTAAGTATTAAAAATTTATTTATTCACAAGCTCATTATGACTGGCAGTTTTAATAAAGACTTATACGTCCTAGTACTATCTTGCAAAAATACTTTTTCTAAACATTTTGTAACTGTATATAAAGTTTTCTATATAATTATATAAGTAAATTTTAGTTATGAATAAATTTTATATAAATACCAAGAGAAAAAAAAAAACAGAAATAAAAAATTCAAATACTTTATTCCAATAACTAATCAATGCCAAATAATGTTTGTACAAAGATATAACAAATAAAAATATTACAAGGCTATGAAAATAATTGTTTAACTAAAAAAAAAGTAAAGGGTAGCAAAAGGGTAGCAAAAATTTTTATATAAAAGAATAATTTTTGAAATTATACTTTTATTATATTTAAATTTTATTTAAAATACAATTCACACCTAGTTATAGCAAATTTGTTAAAAACTTGTTGAATATCTACAGATATTAAATTTTTGACTCTGTGAATATTTATTAAAGATAAACCATTTAGGCTTTATCTACCATTTTACCATGCAACTTCTTCTTACCATTCACTTATAACGCTTTAGGCGTCTAAGTAAAGGAAAGATTTTTTCCCATTCATATGAAGTTAAGGGTAAAGTAGAAGTAACTTTTGTTCATTATCCACATTAATGATCTTCCTGACAACCTTACATCCTAAGTGGCCCTATTTGCTTACAACTCAACTTTATACTACTGCTTGATAAAAAGTCTTCTTTTTTTGATTGCTTAGAACAAACAGCTGATCTTGAATCTGATCTCACTTCTGTAACAGCTTGAGGCTTGCAGTTGCTTGTAAGCTTTAACCCCAATAAAACTCAGTTATTTACTGCAAACAACTATAGCAATACTGTCAACATTCCTATATCAATGAATGGCAACCCTCTACTGAGTAGATTATTGGTACTGAGTAGACTTCTTGGATTATCATTCACTACTGACTTCTCATGGAAACTATATGTACAATCCATTGCAAAGTTGTGCAAGGTGCAATGGGTTGCAAAGTTAGCATCTGCTAACTTTGCAAATTGTTTTATTGTTCTCACCATTATCTTACTCCTGATTCCATTTTCTAGCTATAAAAATCTCTTATTCATCCCTCTTGGAATACTGTTGTCATATTTGGTCTGGTTCTTCTCAAGATGCTCTTTCTCTTCTAGGCAGGTCCATAAACACATTGTAAACATACCAGCTCTATTTGCTAAGCCTGAGCCTTTTTCTTATTATTTACTTTTCTACAAATAATATCATGGTAGCTGCTTAAAGGAGCTATCATCTCTAGTTCCATCAACCAAAACTCATTCCCGCTTGACTCATCATTCAGCAAAGTCACATCATTTTACTGTATCTGCTCCTGAAGGTTTTTTTTAAAAAACTTTTAATTATCTAGTTTTTTTCCATGTACTTCAACCCTTTAGAACTCTCTCTCATCTAAATTTTTTCCTGACTCATACAACATACTTTCTCTTTAACTCTATTCTTTTATTTAACTCTAAACTTAATGATACTTGCTACTTAACTAATATAATAGAAACACTGAATTTCTGCAATTATTTTTCAAGAAACAAAAGATTAGAAAGAAGGAACTAAGAGATTGGTGCTTTATAAGACTTTAAAGTTGTAAAATCTTTTAACCAGTACTCAGATGATCAAGCAAAGTGTCTAATTTCTAATTTAAAATAATTTGAAATGAATTCTGAAGGAGTATTTTGTTTCTCTCAATAATTAAAGTTTTGAGCTTTACTTTAAAATCTTGTGAACAATTTCTAAGCTTGTTTATAGCATATTTGAAGATGCTGATCAATAATATTTCTAAGAGAAAACATATTTTAATGCCTAAATAATATTCAAACCAGTAAAAAATATCATTACTACTTGCTTGCAACAACCACATATTTAGAAGAGCTTTATAAAACACATCTTGTTATACACATCCGACAAAAAAATCAAAACCTTTTCTTAACTTCAGTAGAAGAATTTGTAATATCCATTAAAAAAATTAGAAATAACTTAAAGTAAAACACTAAATAAGTATTTTGGGGAGTAATAAAAATCTAAGTAATATACCAGTAACACCATTGGAATATATTAACTTAACAAATTCTTCCTTTATGTTTAAATTGGAGTTAACAAATCTAATAACCAATGAAATTTGAACTGTTTAAGGTTTTATCGGCAATAATAGAAAAATATTTAGACTTTTTGATTTTTTTATTATATTATCTTTAATTTTTTCCCTACAACACGTTATCAGATCATTTTGTGATGCATTAGTGTCTAAATTGGAATTAACAAATCTAATAACCAAAGAAATTTGAACGGTTTGAGTTTTATCAGCAAAATAGAATAAACAGGTGATGCGTAAGTTATCATTAACTAATTTATGAAAAATGAAAAAAAAAATTATTATTATACTTTTTTTAAACAAAGTATTTATCTTTTAATTAAAATAAGTTATTTTTTTAATGAAAAAACACTCTCAATTTTGCTCTGGTGTATTTTTCAATGTTAAAAAATGTACTTTTTTTTTCAACAATATATTTAAGTTGGAAAACTTTTATTTGATTTTTTCCAACGCCGTAGCAGACATCCCAAAAAAACTTGTGCTTTTAAAGCTTGCAAATCTCCCTTTTGGGGACTTTGTGCCAAATGTTTTCAATTTGTCCCCAAAAGTTTTCAATTGGCTGTGCTTGAGGCACATTTGGCGATTTGGATTCTTTATCAACGTAATAGACATATTGGCCCATCCGAATTAGAGAATCTTTAGAATAATGAGACCTTACTAAATCTTGAAAAAGTTGTTTTTCTAAACATTCATCAATATAGATCGATGAATTAGTTGCTACAGCCTTGGAAGTGCAAAACAATGGCTTGGACATACCACAGTCAGATATGGCTATCCACATCTTTCTCTTTTTTTATAAAATGAACACTTTCTGGTAGGGCTACAAGTTATTTTTAAAAGTTCGAACCTGAACATGTTCAAACTATTATGGAAAAAAGTTTGAACTATTTTGAACTTTATTTTAGTTATGTTAAATCAGACAAAAGTAATATAAAGTATGCGTAAAAGTATTTATTTGTTTATCATTATTAATTAGGCAAAAGTAAATTACATCAATGACTACTCTTCATAGTTTTCTTTAAAAAAATTAGTTAATTTAAAGTTTTGTCATTTAAACTTCTTGTTTTAGTAGCAAAATTTCCAAGACTAGAAAATGCTCTCAGCTTCTACGGATAAGAAGGAATTTTTTTGAAGAACTTTGAAAAATAAATCTAAATACTTGGGGCTAGTTTTGCTAGTTTCAAAAACAGTCATTTCTTTTTGAACAATGTTTGTTCTGATTTCCTGATGGTCAAGTTTCATTTCAGTGTCTGATTGTTCAATAAAAAGTTTGAGTTGTTGAGCTAAATTCAATTCATTTTTGATGCTTTTTACATTATCAGTTATACTATCAGTTCTTACTTCCTTGTCATCATCAGAGCTATTGTCAGATGGTTGAAATAATCGCTTAATGAGATTAGTAGCAAGATTTTTAATCTTTTTTTTAATCTTGTTGCCAAATTGATCATCTGTATTCAAGACATTCGGTTTTGACAAGTGATATTCATGAGATGAATTAAATGAATGTTTCTTCTTTCAATTAATATATATTCAAATACCTGTTTAACAAGTTGACTTATAGAAGTATTAGTTTCATGAAGTTTTTTTCTTGTAAAATCAATCACAATATCAGAATACAAAAGATCAGTATCTCCTTTTGAAAGAGTATTAATGGCTAATTTTAGTGATTTTAAAGCAATACAAAGTTCATTTATGACATCAAGCTCATTTTTAGTTAGGAATATATTTAGTTAGGAAAACCAATATTTATACCAATCAGAGCTATTTTTACTTCTTTTACCTCCATAAAATGTACAATCAACATTCCATCTTTTCCTTGAATCACAAATCAAAGTTTTTTCTTTTCCAAACCTTTCAATTATATTTGGTTGAAGTTCATCATCATTGGTTACTGGTAATCTATGAAATTTTTTAACCAATTTTCTTTTTTTTTTTCTTTTGTTTCTTGATATTCAAATTGGAATAAAATTGGAAAAAACAGTTTCTTGGTATTCAAATTGGAATAAAATCTTCACTAACTCATGAACAGTTTGAATATCATCACCAACTTTAGTCCCATCTTCATTATCACTGTAACCTTGATCATAATCTACAGCTTTCATATCACCATCAACAGGGTTATTATCAGAATCATGTGCATCAATCATATTTTTTTTAAAGAGCACATCAATCACACATAGATAAATAGCATGGTTATAACACATTTGATATTCAGGTTTAGAGTCATGACCAACTTTATCTTTAAGCTAGCTCTATCAGTAACAGAAGCTACAATGTCTTTGTCCTAATTTGAATCAAGTGAGTTAAGCTTATCACTGATCAATTTAATGGCTTTTGTTGCTGGTATTGTACCATTTTTTAACATTCCTAGCAATTGAAATCCTTCATTATAATGTAGATTTAACTTCATATATATTCTGTTTTTTTACTGAAGTATACTCATCAAATGTAAGAATAAATTTACATTTATCTATAAAACTTGGACAATGGTCACCTTAGTTGTGCTTACATCTTTAAACTCATATTTTTTATTTTGTACAACTAAACTTTTATTAGCTGGTCAAAGCTATATTAACTCGTCTTTTTTTTTTAATT